CTGGGGTCCAAGATCTCCCGCTTGTCAGGAAAGCTGTCTCTGTGGGTTTCACCAGCACAGTCTTGACCACTATGCACATCACTCCTCCCTCTCTGTCACTGGGTAAGGGTTCAGTTCAGTGTTTACTTGTGGGTATCTGCCTCTGCTTCCCTCAGTTACTGGATGAAGGTTCTAGGATGCCCTGTAAGGTAGTCATCAATCTCATTAAGGTAGTCTCTCCACTATTGCTTAGTTTGATGGTTGGTGTCATCCATGTAGAAGGCTGGAAATCCCACTAGTGTCAGCTGTCTCCTAAAACCTATAACGACTCCCTCTATTACGGTATCTCTCATCCTGTTCTCCTCTATTCTTCCCCTGATGCAAGCTTCTTGCTCCCCCAAGTCCTCTTCCCCCTACTCTACAACCCCTCTCTTTTTCCCAGTTCCCTTTCCCCTCCCCCCATGCTCCCAATCTGCTCAAGAGATTCTTACCTCTTTCCCCTTGTCTAGGGTATCAAACATATATCTCTTGGGAATCTTCCTGTATCCCAGACTCACTAGCAATGGAATTGTAAGCTGGCATTCCCCTGATCCATGTCTAAAATCCATATATGAGTTATTACATACCAATTTTGTCTTTTGGTGACTGGGTTAACTCACTTGGGATGGTTTCTTCTAGCACCATCCATTTGCCTGCAAATTTCAGGATTCCATTGTTTTTTTCTGCTAAATAGTACTCCATTGTGTAAATTTCCACATTTTCTCTACCCACACTCAGTTGAGTGGTATCTAGGTTGCTTCCAGGTTCTGGCTATTACAAATAATGCTGCTATGAACATAGTGGAACAGGCATTCTTGTTGTATGAATGGGAATTATTGGGGTATATGCCTAAGAGTGGAATTGATAGGTGTTGTAGTAACTTAGTCTTATTTTCCTAAGGAATCTCCATACTGATTTTCAAAAAGGCTGTACCAGTTTGCCCTCCCAGCAGCAATGGAGGAGTTTTCCCCTTCCTCCACATGCTCTCCAGCTTAAACTGTTATTGGTGTTTTTTATTTTAGCGATTCTGACAGGAATAAGATGATATCTCAGAGTGGTTTTGATTTGCAATTCCCTAATGGTAGGGGATGTTGAATGATTTCTTAACTGTCTCTCAGCCATTTTAGACTCCTTTATTGAGAATTCTCTATTTAGTTCTGTACACCACTTTTTAATTGGATCCTTTGGGGTTTTGGAGACTGGCTTCTTAAGTTCTTTGTAAATTGTGAAGATCAGCCCTCTGTCACATATAGAGTAATTGAATATTTTTTTTAGATTCTGTGTGCTACCTTTTTGTCTTGTTGACTGTGTCATTTGCCTTACAGAAGCTTCTAAGTTTCAGATGGTCCTATTTATTCATTGACCATCTCAGTGTCTGTGCTACCGGTGTTATGTTCAGGAAACAGTCTCCTGTACCAATTGGATTAAGGGTACCTCCCCTTTTCATTTCTAAGAGGTTCAGTGTGGTGCATTCGTGTTGAGGTCTTTGATCCATTTGGATTTAAGTTTTGTGTATGGTGATCATCATGGATCTTTCTACAGTATTCTACATGCCAAATCCAGTTATGCCAGCCCAGTTTGTTAAAGATGTTATCTTTTTCCATTTTATAATTTTAGGTTCTTCAATGGAATCCCCATCAAAATACCAACACAATTCTTCACAGACCTTGAAATAACAATGCCAACTTTATATGGAAAAACAAAAGACCCAGGGTAGCCACAACAACCCTGCACAATAAAGGAGCTTCCAGAGGCATCAGCATCCCTGACTTCAAACTCTATTATACAGCTATAGTCCTGAAAACACATTGGATTTTCCACAAACAGGCAGGTAGATATCTTCTGAGAGAATTGGGAACATGGGGGTAGGGTGGAGGATGCTGGGAGAAAGAGATAGGGTGAAGAGGAGGGGAGAGGGGGAAAGGGGGGAGAGGAAAGTTGAGTCAGGGGAAGAATAGAGAACAGGATGGAATACACCTTAATAGAATGAGACATTACAGGTTTGAAGAGAGATCTGGAAGTCATGAGATGTCCAGAGACCTACAAGGGTGACACAAACTGGCAATCTAACCAATAGTGGAGAGACTACCTTAAATGCCTTTTCCTTATAATGTGATTTATGACTTCCTTGTATGCCATCCTAGAGGCCTACATCCATTGATTTAAGGAAGCAGAAGCAGACACCCAAAACTAAACACTGAACTGAACTCCTGGAAAACAGTTCCAGAGATGGAGGAGTGATGAGCAAAGGGGTTAAGACATGGTGGGTAAAAGCCACAGAAACAGCTGATCTAAACAAGGGGAAGCTCATACATCCCAGACTGATACAGACTGATAGCTGACAAGCTAGCATAGGATTGATCCAGACCCCCTTAAATGTGGGTGTCATTGAGGAGGCCTCAGCATTTTGGGGGCCTCAATCATAAATTAGAATTTATCCCTGTCAGCCAGATTGACTTTGGGAACCCATGCCATGTGGAGGGATTCTGTTTCGCCTGGACACATGGAGGAGTGCCTAGGCTCTGCCCCAGACAATATGACAGACTTTCGAGATTCCCCATGAACAGCCTCACCCTCCTTGGAGAGTGAAGGGTTTGGGGAGTGTTTTAGAGGGTTGTGAGAGGAGGGGAGAGAGAGGGAGCTGGAATGACATGTGTAGAAAGCTTGTTTCTAATTGAAATTTTAAAATGCTGGTTGTATTTTAGCTCCTTTGATGAAAATCAAATGTTTGAATGTGTGGGGGTTAATATCAGAGTGTTTATTAGATTCCATTGGTCTACCTGTCTGTTTTTGGACCATTACCAAGCTGTTCCAGTCCTATAGCTCTATAATAGGGGTTGAAGTTAGGAGTGTTATTTTACTGAACGGGGTTGTCTTTTGTTTTTCCATATAACGTTGAGTATTGTTCACTTGTTCATTGTTAAATTTTCATATTTTTTGGAGGATAGGTTTTCAAAATATGACCTGATGACTCTCTGGATTTCTTCACTGGCTGTTGTTTTCATTTCTGATTTTGTTAATTTGCATGTTCACACTCTGCCTTTGGTAAATTTGGATACCTGTCTATCTTGTTGATTTTTTCAAAGAACCAACTCTTTGTTACAATTGTATTGCATTCCTAGTTTCTACTTTATTGATTTCAGCTCTCAATTTAATTATTTGAAGGCATCTGCTAATCCGGGGTGAGATTGTTTCCTTTTGTTCTAGAACTTTCAATTGGGCTCTTAATTCTCTAGTGTGACTATTCTTCAGTTTCTTCATGTGGGCACTTAGTGCTGTGAACTTTCCTCTTGGAATTGATTTCAAAGTTTCTCATAAGTTTGGGTATGTTGTGTCTTCATTCTCATTGAATTCTATGAAAACTTTATTTTTTTATTTCTTCTTTGACCCAGGAATGGAGCGATTAAGCATTGTTCAATTTCCATGAGTTTGCAGGGTTTCTACAATTTGTGTTGTTGTTGAATTCTAACTTTAGAGCATGGTGGTCTGATATAATACATGGGGTTATTCCAATTTTTGTACCTCTTGATGTTTGCTATGTTCCCAAGCATGTGCTCAATTTTTGAGAAGGTTCCAAGTGGCACTGACAAACAGTTGTATCCTTTTGTGTTTGGATGGAATGTTCTATAGTTGTCTGTTAAACCCAATTGTGTCATAACGTCTATTAGTTCCTTTAGTTCCTTGTTAAGTTTCTGTCTGGTAGACCTGACTAGTGGCGTGAGTGGGGTGTTGTAGTCTTCCATTGTAAATATGTGAGGATTTATATGTGATTTGAGTTTTAGTAATGTTTCTTTCACCAAAGTGGTTGCCTTTGTATTTGGGTCATAGACATTCAGAATTGAGACTTCATTTTGGGGGATTTCTCCTGTGATGAGTAAGAAATGACTTCCTTCAGCTCATTTGGTTGATTTTAGTTTAAAGTCTAATTTGTTAGATATTAGGATTGCTACCCCCACTTGTTTCTTGGGTCCATTTGATTGGAAAAATCTTCTCGTAATCCTTAACTCTGAGGTAACTTCTGTCTTTGAAGCTGAGGTGTGTTTCCTGTATGCAGCAGAAGAATGGATTCTGTCCTCGAATCCAATCTGTTAACCTGTGCCTTTTTATGGGCAACTTAAGAGCATTAACATTGAGGTATATTAATGTCCATAGATTGCTGAATCTTATTTGTTTTGGAATGGTTGTTTGTGGTTGAATTATATGTGGATTTCCAGCCCATTTTCTTTTGCCTTTTGGTAAAGTGGGATTATCTACTGCCTATGATTTTCAGGTTGTGGTTAACTTACTTGGGTTGGAGTTTTCCTTCCAGAAATTTCTGTAGGGCTGGGTTAGTGGCCATGTATTGTTTAAATCTGGTTTAGTCATATTTTGTTTTTTTCTATCTATAGTAATTGAAACCTTTGTTGGGTATATTAGTCTGGGCTGGCATCCATAGGTTATGTATCCATGACCTTCTGGCTTTCAGAGTTTCCATGGGGTATCCAGGAGTAATTCTGATATGTTACTTGGCCTTTTCCTTAACTGTTCTTAATATTCTTTCTTTATTCTGTATGTTTGGCATCTTGATTATTATGTGTCAAGGGGACTTTTTTGTGGTCCAGTCTGTTTCGTGTTCTGTCAGCTTCTTGCACCTTCATTGACATGTCTTTCTTTAGGTTTGGAAAGTTTTCTTCTATGATTTTGTTGGATATGTTTCCTGCACCTTTGAGCTGGGCTTCTTCACCTTCTTCTATACCTATTATTCTTAGGTTTGGTCTTTTCATGGTGTCCCATATTTCCTGGATATTTTGTGTTAGGGATTTGTTGAACTTAAAATTTTCTTCCGTCGATGAATCTATTTCTCCTAGTATATTTTTAACACATGAGATTCTGTCTTCCATCTCTTGTATTCTATTGATTATGCTTGCATCTGTAGTACTGACCATTTGCCCAGATTTTCTATTTCCAGCATTCCTTCAGACTGTATTTTTATCATTTCTATATCAGATTTCAGCCCTTGCACCTTTTGAATTGTTTCTTGCAATTTTTGCTTTGTCCTTTACTCCATGTCTTGCACTTTTTGGATTTTGTTTCTTCCATCTCTTTATGGCATTTTCTCATACCCTCTTTGAGTACCTCTATCATTTTAATGAAGTTGTTTTTAATGTCATTCTCTTGTGTTTCATTTGCATTGGGACTTTCAGGCCTTGCTAATGTAGTGTCTATAGACTCTGGCAGTATCATTTTGGATTTTCTGTTGCTGAATGTGTTTTTATATTGTCTCCTTCCCTTCTCTTAACCAGTGAGAGAAGAAGGAACCTCTTCCTTTCCTGGTGGGTACAGGTCCAGAGTTTCCTTCTGGTGGGTGTAGGCAAGTCCAAAGCTCTGGTAGCTCTTCTCTTCCTGGTCTCGTAGATGGAGTAGTGGATTAGGATGCTGGGGTGCTTTGGATCCTGTTGGGACAGACGCAAGCCCCAGCTGTAAGCATCAATCTCAGGCAGCCTTCCCGGATACGGGCCCGGGTTTACCTCGACTGGTAAGTGAAGCAGGAGCCTAGGATGGGTGTGTGTTAGTTGCATTTGAATTACTGTGGCATCTAAAGGCAAAGAAAGAACTATGGAATCTTCAAAAAGAAGTAGAAATTTCAAATCTCTATTTCCTGCTTTCATCTGACATACATAATAATGAAAACCATGTAATACATGCGAAAAGCATAAAAAGACATATATGATAAAGAGAAATTGTATATCACACACAGTTAAAATATTATTTGAATGTGAGTTTTCATTTCAAGATGATTAAATTAAGGGCTCAATAGCATTCAAGGATTTGGCAAAGAATCATCTTCCATTCTCTTTATAACATATTTTAAGGAATAAATTCCACTTTCACCTTGGTGTTTTTCTTATGCCAATTCTTTATTCTGATTTAACTGTTCTTTAACTTCTGTTTCTCCTGTTCAAGGGTTCTTTGCTTTGTTCAAGGGAGTTGATTAGCTCTGGTTTTGACACTGTAAGACCTGTATATCAGAAGAGACATATGAACATTCCTGGATATAATGAAAGCATATTAGTTTCTAAGAAATAGATTTCAAATAAATGACGGTGCTGATCAAATAAGGAGTTTGAGTTTCCAAATGTTCTAATTGCCATCTCCTGATATTTACAAATATTCATAAACACATTTTTTAGGATTGTATACCTTGAGTTCCTTTTCAAATTACTACTGAATATCAAGTCATGTATCTTGTGAAACATTGATGCATATCAACATATAATCTACAAAGATTCTGAAAGGTAAAACATACTATAAACGATTGAGGATGTTTGACAGTACCAGGACAGGTGAATATAATATCAATATAAGCTTACTTAAATTGTTGTGTTATATATGGTGAATTACAAGTTTGTTTTATTACATTAGCATATGGATGTCAAGATAATAATAAAGACATACCTATAAACCATATCTGGATGGAATAAACAAGCAATCATGGAAGAAAAATACACTCACCCCCAGAGACCAGGTTTCTGCAAGCCTCCAACATGATATCCTTGTACAAAATTTCTGTGCAGAATCCAGGCATGCCCATTCCGCCTGAGAGATGTCTATGGCCATGCCTTCGAATGTCAATATTCCCTGTCATGAATGATAAGAGTTTTTGCATATATGCCGCTGCAAAGTTCTTTACTTCACCAAAGGAAATATAAGTATAGAGTTGGGGGATACTAGAGGAGAACAGTTTGAGATATACCATAATAGAGAGAGACATGATAGGTTTGAGGAGAGATCTGGTACTAGGGAGATCTCCAAAGCTCTACAAGGATGATACCAACTGACAATCTAAGCAATAGTGGAAAGACTCCCTTAAATGCCCTTCTCTTATAATGAGACTGATAAGTACCTTATATGCCATACCAGAGACTTCTTCCAGGGGATGATGGAAGCAGAGGCAGATATCCTCAGCTAAACACTGAACTAAAATACCGAAACCAGTTGCAGACAGGAGGAGTGATTGGCAATTGGGTCAAAACTGGTCTGGTGTAGCCCACAGAAGCAGCTGACCTGAACAAGTGGGAGCTCACAGTCTCCAGACTGATAGATGAGAAGCTTCCATGGGACTGATCCAGACGCCCAGTCTGTGGGTGTAAATAAGGAACCTGCCACAATCTATGGGGCCTCTAGTACTCAATCATTATTTATCTCTGGTATACAAATGGATTTTGGGAGCCCATTCCTTGCAGATGGATGTGCTCTTGGCTGGACACATGCGGTAGGGCCATGGTCCTGCCCTGGATGATAGGAAAGATTTTGGGCATTGCCCATGGAGTGCCTCACCCTCCCTAGGAAGGGGAGGAAAGACGGGATGGGAGTCTCGTGGGGGGTAGGGGAGGAAGGAAGAGGAACTTGGGATTGACATATGAAGCAGGCTTGTTTCTAATGTAAATAAAATGTTAAATGTTAAAAATATTAATACAAACTATCTTAGGTTAGTTGGTCTACTCTACACTTAGAGCTTGGGATTCATGGATCTGCTCTATGCAAGCCAGGCAAAGTGCAACCTGGGAATTGAAAGCTGAACTCGGGTGTCAGGAAAAAGCATTTAAAGCAAATCATGACTCTCACCATGCTATTACTGGCAAGGTGTTGGGGTTGCTGAAGCTCAAGTGAAAACAATTTCATCAATGTGGACTAGGGTTCAAATTGACAGACTGGGATGACATCTCTTTGGGAAACATAAACTTTCAGAATTCTATATGCATATAAATTGTTTGTGTCCATATCATCATCTAGCAATTTCTGATATAGAAGTTTTGAGTGAAGTACAAGTATTTTTGGCTTCTATTCAATGGAAAGGATAGACTTGAAAATGCATCATACCTTGTTCGCTAAGTTATTAGCATATTATGACAATATGTCATGATATACTATGAGGATTATTCTTATATATTGTGATGTGTATTTCTAAATGTATATAGAGCCTCCCATAATTCCCAAAAGGAATCTATTGTTAGATCCCATCTTTTTACTTAAAAAAAACTGAAAGAAGAGCTAAAAAGGAAAGATACGGGGAAACAGAATGAAGTGGCCCAAGTAGGTAACAATGTGTTTTCAGGTGCTTTGCATAGTATCTGTACAAGCTTGAAAGGTATATGTTTTTTTTTCTGTACCTGTTGCCTAGTGATCAATTCAGGGTAGTATAACGTATGATGTTGATTTCATTAGTAGTGTATTGTATTTATTTTTCATAATTTCACATATATGCACACATGTTTATATCTATATATGTGTGCATGTTTGTGCAATATCCAGGTCATATCCAAAAGAAGATTTCACAATATTCACCCCATTCTCATGCTCATACTTTCTCTCCAACCACTCTCCTATGAAGATACTGCTTCTTTGTCACAAATACTTAGTGCATTGGAGATTGCTCATGTAAGACACCAAAACGTTTAAGTTTGAAAGGATTAATGATATGATCAGGGTTACGTATCATGCATTGGTACAATAAGGATCACAATCAGTAAATCACTCCCCCTTGATGTTCTTTGACCAAGAGCAAACCCAGATTTAAATTCACTTATCATGTGTCTTCCTTTTCTCCTCTCTCTCTTTTACATGAGTCTCAACAAGTTTCTCCATGAAGGCTGACTTATAAATCTGTTCTTGTTCCTAACAAAGTCTTTCGCTTTCTCTTAGTGAATAGTACAAAAAGTGTCATATGAGGAAGTGATGAGGGATACTTTAGAGAAATCTTAAAACTAATTTCATGAGATTAGTCCCTTATCCCACCTAACCCCACCTGACACAGATAGTACACAGAAAGTAAGAGAAACACTTCTGTTTATCATGTTATTCCTTGATATTCTACTTACAATTTATTGTGGAAGAGAAGATAACTTGAGATTACATCTATGAATTATTTAGGTCAGAAAATGTGCCAAGTGGTGGAACAATCATTTAATCCCAGCATTTGTGAGACAGAGGCAGGAAGATGTCTTCGAGCTCTAGGCCAGCCTGGTCTGCATAGTGAGTTCCAGGACAGCTACAATATCAATATTTAAAAGACAGTAAAATTGATTACCTCCTTTTCAAATAAAGGGGCAAATCCTAATAAAATGCAAAGTATTGTAGGTTTACCTACTATCATATAAGAACAGAGATTGCATAATTGAAAGAATATATATTGGTTTTTCTTTGTTTTTTTTGGGGGGGTTGGTTTTTTCAAGACAGGTTTTCTCTGTATTATTTTGGAGACTGTCCTGGAACTGGATCTGTAAACCAGGCTGGCCACAAACTCACAGAGATCTGCCTGCCTCTGCCTCCCAAACGAATATATATTGTTTAAATTCAATGTAGGATTGTAATAATTTTACATTTTATTGTAAGCACAGCTAATTGTCACTGGAGGTTGATTGGAATTCAGAAGACCACTACAGAACCAAAGTTTCATAACCTTAGAAAACTAAACGTCGGTTCCAGTGCCTGGGGTTTGCCTGGGAACTGCACAAAGCTTCCAATTGCGGCCGAAGCCAACCACCCCAGATTCCAGGACTTCTCTTCCACCAAGGAGACCAGGAAATCAGCAGATGTAGGAGGGCAAGGCCCTGCATCCCAGGCATGCCTTCCAGTGACTGGGGATGGCCAAAGAGCTTCCCATCCTGGCAGGAGAAACTAGATGCCAAGTCTTCTCTTCCAGCAAAGGGACCAGGGGACCAGGTGGGAGGCTAAGCACCCCTGATTCCTGGTCTTCTCCACCCACAGGACCAGAACGAGGACAAGGAATAGAAGAACTACCAGATTATTGGACTTGCTAGCACCCACCGAAAGGGAACTTTGGTCCCCTAACCACCAGTGCAGTAAGGGGCTCTTTCTGCACCAACTAGAAGAAGAGATGGGAAAGAGACAATACAAAAACGCACTCAGCAACAGAAAAACAAATTTGACACTGCCCAATTCTAGAGACTCCACACCAGCAAGATGCCAATATTTCAATGCAAATGAAGGAGAAGAGAATGACCTTAAAACCACCATCATGAAAATGATAGAGGCCCTAAAAGAGGATATAGGAAAATCCCTCAAAGAAATGGATAAAAAAAAACAAACCAAAAAATGCAAGAAATGGAAGAAATAGCAAACCAAAAAATGCAAGAAGGTCCTGGATAGATATTCTACCAACACTAAGAGAGCATGGATGCCAGCCCAGACTACTATACCCGGCAAAGCTCTCAATCACTATAGATGAAGAAAACAAGATATTCCATGACAAAACTAGATTCAAGCAATATATATCCCCTGACCCAGCCCTACATAAAGTTCTGGAAGGAAAACTCCAACCCAGGGAAGTTAACTACAACCAGAAAAACATAGGCATTAGAGAATCCCACTCTACCAACTGCCAAAAGAACAAAGGGGTGGAATTCCACACATAACTCCACCAACAACAATCATTGCAAATCAAAGAAGAATGACCAATCAATGGTCATTAATATCCCTCAACATTAATGGCCTTAACTCACCCATAAAAAGACACAGGCTAGCAGAATGGATTCGAAGACAGAACCCTTCCTTCTTCTGCATACAAGAAACACACCTCACATTCAAAGACAGATATTACCTGAGAGTTAAAGGTTGGGAAAAGATTTTCCAATCAAATGGACCCAAAAATAAGCAGGGGTAGCAATCCTAATATCTAACAAAATTGACTTTAAAATAAAATCAATCAAAAGAGATAAAGGAGCCAGCAGAGACGGCTGATCTGAACAGGGGAGAGCTCTTGGACCGCAGACTGACAGCTGGGAGGCCAGCATGCGACTGATCCAGAACCCCTGAATGAGATAATCAGTGAGGAGGCCTGGGCAACCTATGGGGCCCTGAGCAGTGGATCAGTGTTTATCCCTCAAATACAAACAGATATCCTGTGTCCATAACACAAAGAGGGATGCTCTCTCAGCCGGGACTCTTAGGGTAGTGCCTGGACCCTGCCCTGAGTGAAATGACAGACTCTAGATATCCCCTACATGGAAGGAATTGGCAATAGGGTGGGAGGATGGAGATTGTGGGTGTGGGAGGAGGGGACGGAGAGGGAACTGTGATTGACATGTAAAACAAGCTGTTTAAAATTAAAATAAAAAATAACCTCATGAAAAATGGACAGGTAGACCAATGGAATCAAACTGAAAAACCTGATATTAACCCACACATGTATGAACATCTGATCTTTGACAAAGAAGCTAAAACTATACAATGGAAAAAAGAAAGCATCTTCAACAAATGGTGCTGGCATAACTGGATGCTGGCATGTAGAAGAATGCAAATCGATCCATGTCTATTGCCATGAACAAAACTTAAGTCCAAATGGATCAAAGACCTCAACATAAATCCAGCCACACTGAACCTCTTAGAAGAGAAAGTGGGTGGTACCCTTGAATGAATTGGTACAGGAGACAGCTTGCTGAACATAACACCAGTAGCACAGACAGTGAGATCAACAATTAATAAATGGGACCTCCTGAAACTAAGAAGCTTCTGTAAGGCAAAGGACTCAGTCAGCAAGACAAAAAGGCAGCCCACAGAATGGGAAAAAATATTCACTAACCCCACATCTGACAGAGGGCTGATCTCCAAAAATAACA